GCTTCTCGACATGAAGGGTGGTCCTCCCTGGTCAAGCCGCCTGGTGGTCTCGGCAAAAGAAGAAACCTTCCAAGGTTCTTGAAATGTTTGGGGCCGGAGCGAGGCTGCGCATGAAACCAGTGGCTGTGACCGCTCAAGGGCCCGAGCATCAGCCACGGCCAAATCAACGAAGCCACCGAGAGACGTCACTAAGGCCGCGATGTTGAAGAATCCTTTGCGGAGGGGATCGTTGGACTTAGGGGTTAGAGTTACGAGTTGAAGCTGACAGCAACCCTTCGTTGCTGAGATGGGTTCTTCACCAGGTGCTCAAAACCCTGTGACACACGGACGGGTGTCCGAATGCGCTATAGCCCTCGGTACTCCTTGCTACCCGGAGCTTTTGTTGTTGCTTTCATTCTCAAGCCTTCAGGTCCTGGCTGATGAGATCCACGTCCGAGAGGCAACAAACAAACGGACTGCCAAGGTCGGACAGAACCTCCAAATCGCTCCCAAACTTGCTTGAGGTCGTAGCGACCGCAGCGATATGGACAAAGCGCTGACCCGCGGCTCTCACACCGCAAAGGCCGCAAGCGTGCACTGAGGCAAGGGACATGTAGGACCGTCTCTTGTGTGCTGCATCACTGCCTGCTTGGCCACGTCACTGAAGAACTGCCTGCTTTTCTTGCTGGCTAAGGTTGAAAGTTAGTTTGGAAGTACGAGAGGGGTTTTGATCGATCCTGGTCCTTGCCTTACAAGGGCATGTCCTAACACAGCGAGAGGGGCATGTCCCAGCATGACGAGTGCGGATTGAAACTAAACTGCGTCACCGCACAGATTCACCGCAGTGTGAATGCACAGAGCTGCGTTTCTGCCAATCTCAAGGTGAGCCATGTGGTGACAACGATGACATGGAGACGAATGCCCTGCAGTGCAGAGCCCACCGGTGCTCACGGAAAAGCGCCCGACGGCAGGTCGTTGTCGAGGCCGTTCTTGGCACCCGGAACACGTCTGTCGCAGCCGCAAGGTTCCCAGAATTCGAGGTACAAAGCACGGAGTCGAGCAGCTGCGTCACTGCAACCCCAACGTGAAGGGGCAGGTGCAAACACGCCTGCTGCGCACATAAAGCGGTTGATTTCACGAAGAGACTAGGCTCTGGCCCCCTGTGGCACAGGATCGAACTGAGAATGGCCGCATAATCTCTGGGGTGAGAAGGGACATGAAACAAAAACGCCAGGGCACTAGCATCATCAACGCAAAGATTTGTGCCTGAGATGAAAACAGACTAGAGAAAGCATGCCGCCGGATGACCTTAGCCTTAGCCTGACTGGAGCAGCCGCGCACGTAGCAAGTCTTCCGGAGCAGCATGAGGAAGTTTTTGAACAAAGGCACAGTCCTTTCTCGAAGGGCACAACCGGAACCAACCTAAGCCCGATGTGAGAAACGTTGTGAGCCATCCGACGGAAGAGCGCAGGATTCCCAGCTAACAGAGTCGCCTCGCAGGCAGTAGACGGGTGAGGGCAACCCAATCCCTGTCTAGCCAACATTTTTTCCAACCCCGTATCTCTTAAACCTCTGAATAAGGCGCTCGCACTTGTCCCCGGCCAACTGCGGCTGCACTCCGATTTTGACAGGGCCATAGTGCGGCAGACCGCCGAGAAACGATCAACTACACCGACAGCTCTCAACTGTGCTGGGACCACTTAGGGTACTTGCAGAATGCTTGAGAGGCTTTCTGCTACTCCTTCCTGTGCACTGGAAGAAAACAACAGATGCTACAACGGAGATGCAACTCCTGCCAATGTGCTGGCTGTGCTAAGCTCAACGTCAAGCTCGACGTCGACGGTCCCTGCTGCCGGCACAGATGTCAACATCACACACACGGTCATCTGCCCGGAGCTGTTTGCAAGCATGCTTCGTGTTTGCCCAGCAGAACCACCGCAGGAGACGAGGCATGCTAGGATGATCGATGCCCTATTGCTTCACTTGCCGGTGCGGTATGTCAATCGAGCCGACAGTCTCACGAAGTGCTGGTGGCAACTCCAGCAAAGCTGCATTGCCGGAAGCCCAGCAGGCGTCTGGTGGCTGCTGGAGGCTTCGGACAATCGGATTGCAATGGAGAGAAATTCGCAAGAGAGATCCTCCGAGGCTCTCCGAGGCCACCTCTCTCTGGCCTAAACGACTTTACACTAGCTGCAGGATGTCGGTGATGGCCTGCGTGCCTTCGAAGACTGGCCACCCTTTGTGGGCCAACCGTGATTGGAACATGACATGAGGAAAGCCACATCAAGGGCGAGAGATGAGGGCATGGACTAGGCTGTGGCTATGGATCTGCACCCGAGCGCTTCCATGTGCGGAGACCGCGCAAAGCACCTCGTCAAACCTCGAGATCTACTCAACCTCGGGCCAGATGGGCCAGATAGGCCAGGTGCTGCCCCCATCCCAGCCATCCGGGACATGGTGGAGACAGGTGTGGCAAGCCTGCACCACATGAGCAGCAGCCCGAGACCTGTCTAACAGGAGGGGCGGACATGAGCAGACCCCGGGCGACTTAAAGCCTCAAGTTGGCTTCGTGCAGCGATGCGCAGCTTGAGGCTGTAAGTTCACCGCACAATGCTTCGACCTTTCCTTCGACCGATTGAGGCGCGGGGTTCTTGGCAGCAATATTGCTGCAGCTCGCCAGCTGCGACTACACTCTGGCTGCACAGCCCTGCCGTGCGAATGCTGTTGCTGCTGTGTAGTTGCGCAACAGCAAGCAAGTCTAGCAGCGTGGCCGAGGAAGCATAAGCCTCTTCACCTGATCCACTATGGAGTCAAGCCCGTGATAAGCAGAGTGTCTGGCAATGGAAAGCTGCCCACTTTGCAGATTCCGCACTTGGAGCGCTCCCTTACGCGATGCTTGTTCCCGTCCAGTCTACACGAAGTCGTGCAGCTGCGCCCTGACTTGTAGTGTAGCCCCAGGGCAGACTGCAGAAACTCTGGCTGAGAGGAAACTTGCATCAAGAAGGAAGCGCGTTTGCAGGGCGCCGCGCTGGTATTTGGGCTAGCAACGGAGGCCCAAGACCAAAGCTGCCGACTGCAGACCGGATGACGATAGTAGCTGTGTGAGTCTAAGCCAGCCTCTCGAGGCCATGGGCTAGCCCACCATGCAGGGCAAGGCATTCACCCAGCAGTCGAACCCTGGTAAGGATCCATCGTAAACAGGCAAGTCTTTCAGACTCAGGTCATCCATTGGCCAAGCAAGGCATTCCGTCCAGGGACGGGGTTCCCAGGACCATGCCCGTCGCAGCAGCTTCCCACAGAGCAAGACATCCAGGGGCGTCACGAAATCCTTAGCTGCACCCGTTGGGGTCTGTCTGTTGAAGGCACGGAGTTCCAGAGCATTTAGGAACAAGCTGGCCACATTTTCCTCAGTACATTGCAAATTTCGGGATCTTTCGATACCACATCTTCGAGTGAGCTGTCACCTCTTTCTTCATGACGAAGCGAAGATTTCATTCTGTGCGCCTTTCTAGCTCTGGCCTGAGATCTGTACATGCTTCGCGAACCCTCCACATTGCGTTCATTCCGTTGTGCACTTGCGGAGGTAATTCCCCATATCATCAGACTTCACCTTCATCCCCGGGCGGGTGCCTTGACAAATGTCTTAAAATCTTAGGATCAGCCGAATATCATCACGAAAATATGCGGCCAAGTTGATGACTGAAGTTTAGTTAACTTGGCGTAGCGGTCTTAGGCCGCCAAGACAGCAATCCTGGACAAAACACAGCAAAAAAGGACATGCTCCGGCAGCCAAGATACGCCATGCGCTCTCCTGGGCTCAGTCAGAAGACGATGCAGTACCGCAACTATGCATCCAGAGCGTGGTGTCTCCAAACGTGCTCCCTTCGTGGACATGGCGTTGAGCAAGCAAGGAGCGGCCGGAGCGGCATCATTTCTGGCGGAGACCGGGCATCCTGTCAGGGCAAGATCCGAAAATCCGAAAATACACCGAAACCCCCAGCCCGAGCCTGGTTCTTCCAGCACCAGGCGGCAGGGCCAAGCACGTCCTGCCAGGAATGCGTTTGGCAAAGTACAGTACCTGAAGGCCCACGGGCAAGCCCCATGGAGTCCAGCCACTTTGTCTGGCGCGCAACGCCGCAGGCACGAGATCTCAAAAGACGCGGGCGCTTGATCTCAATAACCTGAAAGCGGTTCGACCTTTAAAAAAAGTGCTCTAGTGACTATTGTAGTCACGGTACGTGTATGTTACGTACAAGCCTGAGTCCTACTACGTAGCATGTCTCTGCCTGACTGCCTGAGAAAAGCGACACTCCACAGAACACTACCTCACTTTGGCAAAGCGGATGAGAAGAATGATAACACAGCACTGCTAGCATTTCTCTTCAAACCTCTTGCACTTGCAGCTGCACGGCTGCGGTGAAGAAAACTGATTTTCTCCTCCATACTCGCATTCCCCAGGCAGGAGCTGATGCCGCTGTTATGGCATCATTATCTAAGGCTTCTGCTTCTGCACACTTCACATCGCACCATTTTGCTGCTCCTTCGAATGGTACACGTGCGACTGCACCGTCTGCCGTGGTCGGCGGGCGGGTGAGGAGGGATGCTTGAGCGGCGTGAACATACACTTCAGCCTTAATATGCAAGGCTTCAGCTTCTGCACACTTCACATCGCACCATTTTGCTGCTCCTTCGAATGGTACACGTGCGACTGCACCGTCTGCCTCCACCCGTGACACCCACACTTTGCGAGCTCAAGCACGACACACGGCTGACAAAGAGAACCACGTACCAGGAGGGTACCCGTACTGGTCGAACCGCTCAGCCTGGCTGAGCATGGTCGGGAATAACTGCATTGTTTCCATCACTCGCTTTGCCACTTGGTCCTGTAGCTTCGAGAGGAACAAAAACAGAGGAGACCTCCTGGATATAAATCTCCATGACTTCACATTTAGCCACCGCCCTCTTCTGCGTACCAACTCGCCGTTCTCCGTGGCATGCAGAAGCCAGGTAGCACCTCCCGCTCAAAGAGACCCAAGGTCTAAGGGGCGGAGGCCTACCTCTTTGAAGCGTCCCAGCTCATGGGCCTCAGTGAGCTTTGCGAAGCGTTGCCGAAATGTGCCAGGAGCAAAGGGCCAAAGAAATTGGGCCCTGTGCTTCCTGGCAAACGCAAGCGAAACCACTCTCATCAGCTCCGGGTGGTCCAGCTTCAAGGTTTGGTGACGGGCGGCGGTGTTTCGTGTTTTTGGTTCCTTGATAGCCAGCAGGATGTAGTCGATGGTGCCCTGCACATCCAAAGGGAGGCCCAGATCCCCTCGGGTCGCCGCGAACAACTCCCCAATGCGTCCAAGGCCTCCCCAGGCAAGTGCCATCATACCAGCCACATCTAACCAGCCCCAAAACAAAGAGGCCGTGATCAGCGCCGGTAGCACCTGCCATGGCATAGCTTGGTGATGGATGTGGGGCTCCAGTCGTTGCCATTGAAAAGCTACGTCCCAGGCTGGTTGAAGGAGTCTCCTTATCTTTGGCAGTTTGCTGGCAAGGGCATTCACAGTCTCAGAGTAATGGTTGTAGGGCCTTCCAGCCTCATAGAGGGCCCTTCCGTATCTCGACATCACAGCGTTTATGACGTCAACGTCAACCGGGCCCTCTGATACAAACGTCTCCTCAGGGATAGCTTCAGCTCGGCACCAAGCCATGAAAGCATTCCATAAGGAGTCCCTTGCAGACTGTGTGGCTTTCTCGACTGGCCTTCCAGCCGGGAGTGGCCGACCAATTCTTCCCTCTAGCCGGTTCCAGTCCCCGACATTTCTGGGCTCAAGGCTTCCATGGCGGCAAGGCCTGGTGAGGCAGGACCTTCGCCGGGAAAGCCGCAAGAAGCATCGAAGTCCAACAGGGGAGGCCGGTAAAGCAGGGCAGGAACCTTAGCGAAACGATCCTCGGGTAGAGGAGGCAAGCAATGGCTGGAGAGAAGGACGAGGCGGGCCCAATTCGCAGCCCAACGCCTCAGGCGAGGAAGGGAAGCCAAGGCCTCGGAGGGGAGCTTCTCATACAACGACGGCCCTTGCTCTAATATAGAAGCATGCCTCGAGGGGGCATCAGCAGGCATAAGGCGAGTGGGGGTTGAACGGGAGGGCACCGTAAAGTCCAAAGGCCAAACTTAAAGCCGAAATCTCCCGAAGCTCGGCTGTCAAAGCAGACGATGGGGAACGCCCTTTGCTGATGGCACATCTCGACACGTTAGAGTCGATCAAAGAGGCGAACCGGCTGGGTATGGTGCCCCTAGCCTTCCTCATGCACAGGTGCTTGAAGGCACCCGTCTCGTGGACAGTGATATGCCTCTCGCGCCTCCAGTCCCAGGCGGCAACAAGCTTCCAATCCAAAGCCTGGGCCAGGTCATTGACCAAGACACTTTCTAGGCCAAAAGGCTCAGTGTCGTGATGCGAGCGGGCCTCAGTAAGTAGCCCTAAGCCCAGAGCAAACGCCTCAACGAAAGCACCGGCCCAAGGAAGAACAGCCCCATCTTCGATGAAGCTCGGCTGTTGATCAAAGCCAGGAGGGCCCCTAGCGAGGACCCGAACGGGGAGGCCATAAGCCAAGAGCACAAGGGAGCGACTGAAGACCCGAACCCGGCTGCGTCAACATACAAACAATCCCCAGTCGTCGGGCCACAGTGAACAACAAAAGCGCCCTGTGCATAACGAGGTTCTCTCTCGCGACCTTAGAGGAGGAGCAGTCTCCAAAAGGCTCACGGAAGGTGCGGGAAATCGGCCGCGCAGCCGAAGAAAAGGTAGAGCCAGGAAGCAGGATCAAAAGAGAATCCAGCTTCCCAGCCTCCAGCAAATGAAGAAGCCACAGAAGAAAAGGCTCCTCACCGAGATCATAGTGAGGAGAAAAGGCAGGGTCAAGGAGAGGGCCGACGGACCAGCCTCGGGAAGCCAAGCAATCAGCCATGTATCCAGAGGTACCCCCCACCTGGAGAAAATGGAAACGGAACCCCACCGGCCGAGGGCAGGGAGGGAAGGAAGAGGAGGGCGAAGAAGCCCAGTCATCACAGGCACCTCCTTCCCAAACATCGTTCCCGGGCATCTCTTCGAAGAAAAGATCGGCCTTCTTAAGACACGCCTGTGCACGCGAAAGGAGCTTTGTCGATGCCCCCTTCCTGTCAGAGCTCCTCCAAAGAAGCCGGGACAGCTCGACCGGAACATCGGCTTTGACAATCGCTGCCCTACTGTCACTGCTGTCTGTGGCATACAGGGTCGGGTCCCACGGGGCAGCCAGATCAGAGGTAGCCAGAGGGGCCAGCGCAGCACAGAGGGCCTCATCAGCAACCTGCCTGGTCAATGGGAGCACCTTGGGGTGAGCAGGGTCGAGCTGGTCGGGGCGACAGACCCGGAAGGCGAGCAGCAACTGAGAGAGTGAGGGAAGCCAAGGACAGTCTCTTTGCACGAGGGGCGCCAGCAGGAACAACCGCTACGGGATGAATCTAGTTCAATCCCTGCAACCTTTGCGACCTCGGCCCCGCACACGTCCTTCTCAGTGGAGCCCAGCAGCTCAAAGTCAGCATAAGCATTGGCCGCCTTCCTCAAGCTCTTGACCGCCAACGACAACTCGGGGTCAGCGTCATGGTGCTCCAGGCTCACCGAATAGAAATCATCTATGACTAGCCCCTCTAGGAGCGGGCTGTCTGGAAAGATGTGGCCTGCTCTGAGCTCCCGGTCTGGCTGTAAGAGGTCGTAGTGCTGCAAAAGCCGTCGGTGAGCACTGGTGGCCACCTCCACTCCGAGATGATCTCCTTGAAACACCCCCTGGAAACAAGCAACGAGGCGAGGCTCGGGGACCAGGAGAGAGGACCGCCTCAGAGGGCGCCGGGAGCTTCCACAGCCCTGTCGTGCCAAGAAGTTTGCGTAAGCACGGGTGCCCTGGAGGTCGGCCTCCCTGAGCGAGGGGATACACCGAGTTGTGCACCGCCTTCCTAGGCCCGGACCACAGTTGATGATAAAAGTCTTTCCGGTCCGTGATGGCGACCCGGAGGGTTTGACGAGCCGGCTCCAGACCCAAACCGAGAAGGATAGGGCCACAAGGGAGGCTGGTAGACGGGCCTCGCAAAGCACGTTCTCTGAAGTTGCGGGACCTGCGGTCCCCAATCTGGTGGTCGCATTGGCGGTCCTTATAGCAATTGAAGACCCTGACCGCATCGGCCGGGGAAACTTGATCCTCAAATCCACCCTTGAGGAAAAGGAGGCCTTTCTCGTCCCACTTCAGAGCCAAAGCCAGGAGCTCCTGCTCGCTCTCTCTGGCCAGGGAGGGTACATCCGAAGGAGGGGGCTCGCCCCCATAGAGCAGAACATCAGGCTCCAGGCATGCCATGCGCAAATCGGGGTCGCTGTCAAGAAAGGGGACGGGGTCCCAACTGGCCTGACCCGATATCTTAAGGCGCCCGGCATCCAAAGAAGAGCAGGGGCGGAGAGGCCCGATCTCAAGACCTTTCTTGGCTGCAAGCGGCAGGTCGCCCGGAGTCCCGGCCTCAGGCGGCTTCACAGGAGTTGGCGACGAAGGCCGGACAGCAGCAGTGGCAGAGGAGGAGGGAGCCGCACCGTGGAACAAAGGGCCGTAGGGATCAATTCCCGGGCCAATCCATGTCAAGTGCTCCGAAAGCTCACCTAAGCTCGCAAGGAGCTGCGCAGATCGGCGCCCAGCAGAGCTCACAGCAAATGGCTCTACGGCACCGCAGGCTCGGCAAAGCCTAGCGATATAGTGAATCGCTTTGGCCTGGCTTTGGTTAGGCCGCCGGCGAAGAAGCTCAAGGGGAGGGACGCGGCAGCCGGAAAACAAGAAGTTGCAGGCCATGACAGCCATGTGTGCAACCCGTCTAGAGGCAACCCGCGATCGTACCCTAGAACACTTAGAGGAGGGGATGTGCTGGAAACATCCTGGAAAAGGCACTGGCAGCGGAAAAAGAGCCTGAGCAGGAGCTGGCGGGAGCTCCTGAAGGAGAGGCAGCGTTGACAAAAGAAAAGCCCGAAAACTGCCACGTGTCCGCCCAAGCCGAGCAGCAAGGCTAAGGCCAAAAGCGCGAAAGCTCAGGAGAGGAGGTGTCGTTGGTGCAGAGGGCTGGCCGGGGTCTCCTTCAAAGGGACCGGCAGAAGCATGCAACACGGGACCTTGGGAGGAGCACGGGGCCGAAGAAGGCTCCTCACCAGGCACATGTGAATTCAAGCACGGACCATGCCCCTCAGGAAGGGAACCACCTAGCCGTACAGGCCCAGTGGTGCAGGCCGATCGCGGCGCATTGGCAGCTTCACTGGGCAGAGGCGATGGCTTATAGGGGCGGGAACCACTAAACCACGGGACCTACCAGGCCTAGGCTCTAAAGGACCCCGGCCACAGCAGAAGGCACAGCAAGGCACGGGGCTCAACCCGAGGCAGGAGCCAGCTCGGCAATCAGGCCTCACTTTCGTCACGAAGAGGAAGCCTTGCGGCCTTTTGGGAAAACGAGGCCGTCGGGGAGGCCGGGCAGCAGGAGCGGCATCGGGATCCACATTGGAAGTCTTCGCCCTTGGGGCCCCCACTGCTTCGGAGCGCCGGGTCTGTATGAGGTCGATCTCGCGGATGTAGCTCAGGGTGGTCGTGGCCCAGGACTGGGGGGTGAGGCCCCCGAAAGCTCGTAGCCGAGGATTTTGGCTTTGTGGAGGTATCCTATGTCCCAGCTTCCGTTGTCCAGGGAAGCTTGCTCCACCGCTATCATCGTGAGGGCCAACAGCTCCTCTGCTCCCGCCGTGTCGCCTGACAACATCGTGTCGGCTATGCTGGCAAGCACCCAGAAGACTATGCCCAAAGACCTTTGGCTGCCAAACCCTCCGAACCGCTCGGCATAGGTTGTGAACAGGGGCCCCCGACCTGCCAGCTCGGCACGTGAGGCAGGGGAAGGCTCGGATGGAGCCAGCCGTCGCAAGGCCTGCTGGCTTACGTGCAGCATGAAGTTTCCCGACCTGCTTGCCAGCTGCTCTTGGAGCCTCTCTCGCTTGCTGGCCCCTCGTGAACCAAGCGCGCCTGAGCCCAAGGCCGCCAGGGATGGTGGCCCCGGCCGGCCGGTAGCACCACTTCCCCTGTCGCCTCGTCGATGTGGCGATGACCTGGAGGAACCTCGGACGGAGCAGCCTGAGGGAGGAGGCCTTGATTCCAAAGCCTTCTGCCTGGCCGCTATCTCCTGGACCTGCTGGGTCAAGGCGGGGAGCAAGGCCAGCATTGAGTCCATGCTCTCGGCAAGCTGGGCAGTAGTGGCGCGCTTTGCCTTTGGGGCCGCTCGCCTTTTGGGCACCTGACCTAGGGCTGCGGGAGCCTCCACCTCGGGACCTTCGGCTGCGGAATAAAAGGCCATCCTGTCGCCAGCGAGGGTGGTGACCCAAGCTCGGGCTAGCTGCAGGGCATCGGCATGCACGAGGAGCTGGTGGGGCTGACCACCGACAAAAGGAGACACCTCCACGGGCGAAGTCACAGGATCGTACCTCGACAAGTTCGGGGCAACCTCCATAGCAAAATCCACCACAACGATGTCCGCCGAGTCGCCATTGGGGACCAGTGTCCCATCCTCCTCTTCTTCGACAAGAGGTACAGTCAAGACCGTCGAAGGGCCCACAAGCAATTCGGGGCCTCCTCCTTGCCCGGCATTCAAAAGAGCATCGTCGAGGGCACCCAAGGGGACTGCTGCCAGCACGCCGCCCTCTCGCAACAACAGAGGCACGAAAACACAGGGCCTGGGAGGCATGCAAGGGAGCTCGAGGACCAGTGCCCCGGCATCGGCAGGGGCCGAAAGAAACTCTTGGATCAAGTCCATCTCGAAGCGTCTGGGAAGGACGCCCCGGCCGCAAGGGCGTATACTCTGCACTCGCCCTCCGTAGGAAACCCGTGGCAGACTGTATCGCTGTGCAACTTCCCAAAGGAAGTGAAGAAACGAGGCTCGGTGCAGCCACGGCAGCGCAACACAATATAAACCCGGCTGCGAGTCGTAAGCACCGGGGTAGGATCCACCACCGAACGATCCTCTCGGAGGACAGCACCTGCCTGGAGACCTGACTGCCACGCACGCGTGGCCCTGGGAAGGCGGTCGGACGGCCTGAGGCTGTTGACCAAGAAAAGAGCCTCACCAGGCAAAGGGTCACCGAGACTAGGGCCAGCAGGGGAAAGGCGAGGAGGAGAAGCAGCGGAGTGGCTGCGGTAAGCAAAGGCAGGCAAGGGAGCTGCTCTCGGGGCAGCCCCGGCTGACGCGCTACTACCCCTAACCCCACTAAGAGCCCCCACGTTCCTAGGGCTATCAACCAACTCCCACTCGGCACCCGATTCAGCCTCGATCTCAGCGAGAGCGCCACGAAGGGCGTCGACAAGGGAACGGACGGTCTCAGCGAGAGGCCGCCTGCTCATGCAAATATCCTCGCAGACGCAAAGATGCAGACCTTGGCGGGGAGGAGGAAGTCAAAGGAGGATCGGGGGCGAAGGCAGCCTGTGCAACACGGGCAAAGAGAGCGGCCCGGAAGAAGAGCAAGGCACACAGAAAACCAAACGAGCTCCCAAAACAAAAGGAGAGCAAGAGGATGGTCAGGGAGCCGGCACAGTGAGCCGGGCACGCAAGGCCCCACCAGTTGGACGAGGAGCCCTGAAGAAAGAGCCCCAGAACCCTGCTCACATCCATGCTTGAGCGGCGTGAACATACACTTCAGCCTTTATATGCAGTGCTGTCCCTAAGCCTATCAAAGAATGAGCCGGTTCAATTGTTGCTGTGGCCATCCAAACTTCCTGTTCTACACTGTAAGCCGTTCGACCTACTCATACTGTAAATCTTGCTTGTTTTGTCGGTACTAATTACTGCCAGAATCTAGCAAATTCAGTAGTCCCAAACTCCCACCCAGACCTAGCTCACCACTACTGCTGCTGCTGCTGCTGCTGCTGCTGCTGCTGCCACCGCCGCGGCTGCTGCTGCTGCTGCGACAACAGCAGCAACAACAAAACCAATCCAATTACATCTACAACAATATGCAGCAATCACTCCCACTCATTATGAAAGCGGCGGCGGGCTTGTACACTTTTTTTGGAGCAACGCTTTCAAACATGGCGTCCCGGTTCGACAGCTCGTGGAGAAGGGAAGCGAGCCACGATGCAACACTACCAACAAAGAAAACGAATACACTGAATACACGGTGAATGCAATGGACCATGCACAGTACATTTGCACGCTTATCGCAGTATACCGTCTTGTGGCCTCCCCTGCACTCGACTCGCTGGCAGGTCAGTGTACATTCTCTCTGCAAACAAGCTCGTTGGCAGCGATCCGTCGGGATTCGAACCCAAAAGCTAAACCGAGCAAATGCATGTCAAGGACAAGGATTTGCATGTGATGACTGTGCTCTCTACCCCACTTGTCAGATAGCTGTGTGACGAGGTAGCCGGCAAGCTCCTCTTGGTGCTTCTGTTCGTCTTCCGCAATGCGGAAAGCTCGGAAACCACATGCCTCCCTCTCACGGAATGCTGCTACATGCTACGGTCAAGTCAAGCACTTCTCGGACCACGCATCTGTTGCCTGAGCTTCAGACGCGCAAACGAAGAACAAGTTCCCGAGGCGGATTTTTGCGGAGGTGTTTCTTGGTGGAGCAAGACTTCCGAAAGAACTGCATGCAAGGAACAGTTTGGCCCGATATCTCTGCTTGAGCTGGTGCTGAATAGCTCCTGCGGGTTGTGCTGCGTCATGGGCATGGCAACAAGGGCAATCAAAACTCGTGGCCTGGGATCCCCGTATGTCCCCGAGCCTTTCATTGCGCCAGCTTTGTCCTTGTCGACCGGGCCAGTCTTCCCCTGGTGCAAAGCCGAGCACGTTCAGTCGTTTGGCTTAGCGCCGAAAAGCTGCCCTTTGGCATCCTCGCTCTTCTTTCCAATCGAAGACATGTCTTGTTTGACCTGCGCGCAAGTGCTCGAAGCTCAATGCAGTTCACACCTCAGGCCGGATCCCAGCTCGCACTGCAATCATCGCAACGAGCCTGATTGTTCAGCTCTGCCTTCCAGGACAGTGCGTGGCAGCATGTGGCCGTACCGCTGGCAGACAGTTTCACGAAACTACGCTGTCAAAATGGACATTATGGAAAAACTATCCTCATACATCAGCAACATAACAAAGCCATTGCATCTCGCTACGACTCTTGGCGGGAAATCACGCCGCATGGTGCTGTCATGTCAATAATCGAACACACTTCAACACAACAGCGCACCATAAACACGTCCAGGGGATCTTCTTGTCCAAAACGCGACCTGTGGCCACGGTGCCCATGCCATCGCATCCCGCCCCGATCAACTCACTGGGGCTTGCCCACATCTGAATCACTGCCTCTGTGCATCAGATGACGAACTGGCTGAGGACGCGGTACTGTTTTGGTAACCTTTGTTCCTGAAGTCAGCGTTGAGCACGCACCATTGGCACGCTGCAGAATCTGAGTCTGCAGCGGCTGCGTGGAGCCGAATCCCTGTAATGCAGAAAATCGATCATGTTTCGACGCCTCTGTGACGTCGACATGTATAATGAAGTCTCACCCCGACCTCGTGCTTTGACGCCATTACGGCTGCGACCAAACCTTCATCAGGCACTTTGATCCGAAAAGCATCTGCCTGGGCAGACACATGTTGATGCAGAGTCAAACCGCAGCCTTGTTTTTTTAATTTTGCTATACCTATGATCTGGGCATGGCAACAAGTTTATCGCACAACCTGCTTGTCGACGACTGGTTACTGTTTGCAACGTGGGGAGCTGACCGATTGACGAGCTTACAGCAGCGCATTTCGGACAGACTGATTTGGTCTTGGTACAGCGAGCATGGTTGCATGAAAGTTGCTTGGACACTGTTCGGCTGTTGTATTCGGACATGAACGTGGCTCTTCTTCGCAGCGCATAATTTTACGGTGATTGCTGACCTGCAGCTTGCCGTCCCCAAACTCGGCGAACGTGTTATTCCCAAGCATGCATCTGACTCTCGGGATTTCTGCACTTCACACGATCGAATTGGCGAACCGCTTTGACCACAGCATGAGCAATCACAACGCGAATGAAAGTTCGGTTGATGATCTCTACCATGTAAATATCTGATGCGTTTCGTCATGCTGCTGACACATGTTTGCCACAATGCGCACGTGTTGCCACGCGACCTTAAATTTCGAGCCTAGCATTGTTTAGACGACAGCAAACCACAACGAAAAGACAGCACACAGTTTTGAGGGATGTCTCCGCCCGCACGTTCAGTAGTAAACCGGAGTGCGTAGTTCAACCGGAACGCAATGCGCAAGCACCACAAAAGATCCGCACCTAAGTGTGGACGTTTGCGCGATCATGGCGGCAAGGTTGTGGAGAGAAAATCTCATGTACTGCCGCCACTCGTAACCCAACTTCCCTGCTCCTATCAGCCGAAGACAGTCCAAAACGATATGAAGGGATATTCGCAGCAGCCTCATATTTCTATTTTCTCTCCACGCTCTTCTTGTCCGCAGGCAGGTTCGCGTTAGGGGTCCCGGTGCAAGCACGGCCTACTGGGCAGGGCCGGCGCAGCTAGGACTGGTCGAGGCCAGCTAGGCGACGTCCCAGCGCGCATCGGCAAGGACTTCGTGCAGCTCGGGCTCAGGCCCCTCTCCGAGCTCTGCGGCTGGGGGAAACTCCAGGAGAGACGCTGCAAGAGCGCGCTGCGCCGCAACGGCCAAAAGGCCGGACCAGCGCGCGACCCAAGCTGTGATGGCAGAGTGTCGCAGCACGGGACGGATGCGGCACGGTGCCGCGCCAGAAGGCGCAGCAGCTGCACGGCCTCGGAGCCAAACCTGCCATCAACCTCAATGCCGACGACCACCAAGCGGCACCGTCGGGCCTGACCAAGCTCAGGGTATGTGTGGTGTCGCTTGCGGCGTGCAGCATTGGTGACGGCACGGCCAGGTTGCACGTCGGCATGGGGGTGTGCTTCGCCTTGACGCGTCAGGGGGGACACAATGGTCGCGTCGACGGCGAGCTGGGATCCAAAACACAGTGGCAGGCCGTTGGCAACGACTTCGATGCGCCGCTCGTCTGCGACGGGCACATCAAGGTTCATGTCGGCCAAGCGCACGTGGCGGGCGACCCTTGCACCGGCCTCGCGGCACACACGCGCGACGGCGTGCTCCAGGGGCACGGCGCGCGTGGTGGCACACGCCGCGCGGTGGTCGCCAAGCTCATCGAGCTGTCCACGGCATCTGCATCTGCGCAGCGCGAGCTGCAAGGGCATGCGCAGCAGCAGCAGCAGCAGCAGCAGCAGCAGCAGCAGCAGCAGCACTCGGAATTGGGCGCTAGGGATGCTGGTGTCGTCATGTGTGGGCATGACGCTGAAGGTGCGGCCGGCGAAGGGCCCCGCTTGCGAAAGCAGCAGCGCACGAGACGCAGGTGAGAGTCATATCTGTAACGCAGCAGAGCGGAAGGAACCGCCCGTGTACCAGCGTGTGCCATACAAGCGAGGTGGAGGTCTTCAGTCTTCCAGTCCAACGACCCGGGCCATGCTTTCGGATGGTCGTAGCACCAGAATTTTGGTCAGCACAGGCGGCATCGAACAACAGCTACATGTGTCGCTAAACAAGCACGACAGCGGGCTGAGGCCAGATCTATCGCCGACAAGATCAAAGGTCACAGCCCCGTGTGATTTGTGCAAGGATTGCCTCGACTACCGAATGCCGGATCGGAACTCTGAAAAACAAGCGTTACATTAAAGCGCCCATCGCCCATCGCTGCAAAGCATGGACCACACAGGGTAAAACGTGAACGACGAAAGGTTGTCTGTGGATAAGCCCGGCAAATGGGGGTACCTTCTGACCCTACTACCAATTTATAAAAGAAGCGACCCATAGAATAGCCTGCAAGCATGCATGGGGCTCCCGCGCAGAGTCGATAAAATGCTCGCCCAGGAATGTGGAAAACAGGTTTGCGTGTTAGCATCCACGAGCATATTCACTGCTAGTATGGAAATACTTGTTTGGGTTACCTGTTGTGTTCTTGCGTTGCCCGATGACATCATCGATGCGATCCGGATGCTAGCAAAACCGGAGCATACTAGAGAATGGCCTGCAGGGGTACCGTGCTCAGGGTCGCAAAAACATGCAAGAATTGTGTGTGTTATTTTACGCGGACCTTTTTCCAGCAGCCCAAAGCCTCATTCGTCAGTGCCTACCTGGTCCTACGGAGGCGGTGCTGCCAGGGCAGTACGGGCACTAGTGGGGCCCTTGGGTGCCGACTACCGGCAGCTGCCAGCGCACGTCGGCGAGGACGGCTCGGGCGCCTCTCCGCGGGGTTGACGATGGTGGCATCAACACGCTGCCGCGCGCCATGCCACATGGACAGCCCGTTCGCGACA